ATATTATGGGGTTCTTATTCCATGTGGTGACAATATCTGCTTGAGTAAAGTTGACTAAAACATTACAGTTATGGAATCCAAAGATTCCTCTTGGCTGTTGATAGTATTTAGTCATATGTGAAACTTGTAACACTTGAAGAGTCTACATACAACAGGTTTTAGAGATTTTATAACTGTACTACTATTCATATACCCTTAATTAGATATAGGAAAACAACTTTAAAATCTGATGATAGTAGATCATATTTCAGACATGTAGAAAGCAGACTCTAAAAGCCAATAGGCCATTAATTAGTACAACTTTAAGAGAGTTAACTTGATTTAATCCTGTATGCCGTTGACCAGGAGAGGGATAATGTCTCTTAAGTCTAATACTAACAGAATAATCTGACATTTAAAAATTGTGGGCTGAATCTTGAACAGGACACTATCTCTTATTTTCAGAGAATCTGTACAATATTAGTATAATACATACAGATTCAACCAGAAGAGGGATAACACCATAAAATTACAATCAATGGAATCTTCTGATTTCATTTTGGCTGCTCATAGCAAATCTCACTTCATATTTAAGAGCACACTGGGCTGATCTACAGTACTAATTTTAAGAGATTTGTTTAATAGTATTACTTATATTCCCTCAACCAAAAGTGTTTGAAGTGGAACAAGTTTAAAATCTGTATTTTAGTGGAATGTATTTTTTTCTTTTGGGCTCTTATACTTCATATTTATGCATATTTTAATTTCCTTGACTATGTTTATCACACAAATTCCCTAATCCAAAGCTGGCATAAATTGTTTTCGTTTGTTTGTTGTTTGTTGCTACACAATATTCTAGCTACATGATATCTGTACATAACTGAGTTTGTACCAGACAGTCCAGTTATTGAGATCATAAGCATCCACACATGCAGTCATTGAGACTTGATGCTTGACAATGACTAAGCCATTGAGCCTGACAACCATATCCACATCAGGTAGCATTGGTTGCTGGGGAAAATTACACACACAAAAGTAAATATGAAGGCATCATTTACCTTGACAGTTTCATCTGAGTAACAATATGTCATCAAAGAAACTTCAGCCGCTTGGCCTTCTAACACAAGGAGCAGATGACCCTTTCAAGCAAATTTTAAAGGGTGGACAACTCTAACCACTAGTTTGTCCAGCAAATATAATGTCATTGATGACAGAGCATGGAATAACAAGTTCAAGCTGATAATTTTGATAATTTCTACACCATCATTTTTCTTTAAAGTTATAACTATAGCCTTCTGAGATTGGGCACAAACTCTCCCACTTTTTTTATTCTGAAGTTATTATGCCTTGTATGTCTGGTGTCTGTTACAAACAGCTTCCATGTACACCATAATGATGAAAGCTATAAATGATCATTATTAGCAAATATTATATGATAAAAGCAGTAATATTAACACAACAGTACTTGGAGGCTAAACATGCTATATTATGTGTGATGGTGTGTTACTGAATACACCCTTCCATTATAAATAATAGATCATCACTCTTTTCACAGTGTCATGAAAAGTATGACCAAGCAACATACCAATCTCTTGTAAACTCTCACAAATAGCATAACACAAATAACTTAGAAGTTTTAAATCCCCAAAACAAACGTGAATTGTGATAATTACATACCCATCAAGAATGGATGAAACATCATTAAACAATTAATTATGACATAATTTAATTTTCTTTTTTTCCCATTCTTACTTTAAAAGAAACTATTTACTGTATTATTACATAAAACACTGTGCAAAAATCGCCAGGCTTGCCCATATTTCGATACAACTTACTATATTTGTACACATATTAACATAATTATTAAACTATAAAATCAAAATCCAATACCATTCACATCATACATTTTCTGGTTCTATTTGTGGGCATACACATAATTAGCTATATTTTAAAATATCATTAGATATTGCAAGAAAGTCATATTTCAAGTTGAGCAGCAACCATTTCTTGGGAATGAATGAATCATTATGAATAAAAAATGAATGATAAACACCTGACACCTTAATTCAGCATCCACAACCAGGAACATTGATTGGTCGCTCACTTATGGTAAACTGGTAGAGTAATTACAGTAAAGCGCATGAAAATGAATTCTATTCCGTTTCAGTTTCACGTTTCTACATTTTTTGCGCTGCTATATTTAGCTATTATGGCGGACATCGACTATGGAACGCTGCCATTGGCATTTTTTGCAATTAGTAGTTAAAATAAAGGACACGAGTTATGCAGCTGATTTGCTCTTAATAATATTTGTCGATTAAATACATAGTTGAAAGTAACACGTAAAATTCCCCATATTAGTTATCCCAGTTCTGGTTGTAACACACGTCTGCACAACGTCATGAAGCCATTGGGGTGGTCCGTGGGGGAATGTCTCAACGACAAGTGGCTGCACATTTCCACTGCCACCGGAACACCATTTCTGCACTGGTGAGACGCTACCAGAACACAAATGACGTCATCGATCGGCCACGTTCTGGACGTCCACGTGTAACAACGCCAAGACAGGACAGATTGATAAGGGTGACCAATCTTCGCCACAGGTTTCAGACTGCAGTGATGACTGCCCGAATCATCCCAGGATTTCGCCGTATCTACCCTAACACAGTCTGACAACGTTTACGTCATCACGGGATCAGACCACGACGTCCCGCCATACGGCCTGTCCTGACACAACGTCATCGACAAGCTCGCCGAATGTGGTGCTGAAATCGTGTCCGCAGACCCTTGTTTTGGTGGAGAAATGTTGTTTTTACAGATGAGTCCAGGTTTAACATTTCCCATAATGATGGACGTCAACGTGCTTTTGACGCGTGGGAGAACGTTATGCACAGGCCTGTGTCTTGAAGAGGAATCCTTTGGTGGTGGTTCCGTGATGATTTGGGGTGGAATAACAGCATGCCAAAGAACTCTTTTGGTGATTGTTCAGGGCAATTTAACTGGTGTGGGCTACAGGGATCAGATTCTTCGACCTGTGGCAATTCCTTTTCTGCAATGTCATGGCCCTGGGTTAACATTCCAACAGGACAATGCCAGCCCTCATACGGCAAGGGTTGCTATGGATTTTTTGCAACACCACAACGTTGACTTACTGCCTTGGCCTGCAAATTCACCGGATCTCTCCCCGATAGAGCATGTTTGGGACGAGATCGGTCGACGTCTACGCCGTCTTCCTCTTCCGCCAGATAACGTCCTTGACCTTGCAACAGAACTTGAGAGAATCTGGCGTGACATCCCACAAGCCTTCCTTGCACGTTTGATAGGCTCTATGCGTCGTCGATGCACTGCTGTTTTTAATGACACAAGAGCCTGAAGTAAAAATCTCAAAAGTGAAACAAAATATGTAACTTTGATCATTGGAACATTGCTTGGTCGCAACTAGTCAAGGATAAGGTAAGTACATATGACCAAATGCAGTTGGTCAATGTACTGCAGCCAAGGTTATTTATCAACAAACGATGACGTATTCCTGTCATTCCTCCTTGGAGGTATACCTGACCACTGTAAAGATGTATTAGTTGTAACATTTGGTCAGAACTGGTGGTAATCATTTGTTCCTCAGTTCGTTGTTGGGAGAGCATACTCCGGCAATGTTCATAAATACCTACAGATCTTTCACAATGGAACATTACTGTATAATTCAAGTACTAATAGACAATTTTCTGTACTGTTGTTTATCAGATAAATGTAATCTTCATTTTATGGAGGAAATAAAGAATATCTATCTATTTCCCATTTGTCAAATGAATCTTGGCTTTAACCAAATGAGCTTGAAATACAAACAATAACAGTGCAATGACTGTCTGCTGGGGATAGGTGCCTCACTCTGGGAGTCTGGGTTCAAATCCCGGATGGGACTCAACCTGACAAAACTATTAAAATCTGTACTTTAGTCAGAAAGTGTAATCCCAAATCCCAATCATATGGGAAAACAAGGCAATAGAAATACATTGTGTGTTGCGGAAAGTTTAGCGTATTCTGTAAGTGTAAGAAGTTTACTATACACATGTATTTCAATGTGCCCATCCATTGCTGACTAACAACACATTTGCACTCTCATCCTACCTTACTGACAGAATCAAACCAACAAAGCTCACCGCATTCCATACACATTTTTATGAAGCTTATTTGGCGAACATACCCATGATGTCTTTCAGAAGTCACAAGCAATCAAACGATGGCTTTCTCCCATTCGACCCGTGAAGATCCGGGTTAGAATAGGTCTTCAACAACCCATGCTTGCCACAAAAGGCGACTATGCCTGTCGTAAGAGGCGACTAACGGGATCGGGTGGTCAGGCTCGCTGACTTGGTTGACACATGTCATCGGTTCCCAATTGCGCAGATCGATGCTCATGCTGTTGATCACTGGATTGTCTGGTCCAGACGTGATTATTTACAGACCGACGCCACATAGCTGGAATACTGCTGAGTATCGGTGTAAAACTAAACTCACTCACTCACTTTCTCCCATTCTCACACACTCAAACTAAACTCGTCCGTCGTACTTCTTACAACCATTCTTGTTAAACTCGTCCGTCGTAATTCTTACAACCATTCTTGTTAAAACGTTTTACCAACCATACACATATCTTGCAAAATCTCTCAGCAGCCCCATCAATGTTTGTGAGAGCTTCCTTTCCGACTCATCTGGATCTGTTGAACTGATGGGGAAAACCTTTGCGAAATCACCCAAGATGGCTTCGCTGAGACCAAAAGTGTAATAGAGGTCTTTGCCATGATCCATCCCCTTGCCATGACCGCTCATAAAGGATGGGACGTGGTCAAACACATACATGTAGGTCTTCTTCCCTGTTTTCAAGCTGCTGCTCAGCATTGAATGAGCCCTGGCAAAGAGCGTCCCTGGGGCAACCATTCCAGCATCACCAAGAGTGTTCATTCCTGCCTGAAGAGTAACGCTATGGCTTTGAGAGGGGGCATACACCTTAGCCACGGCCTGTGTCATGAAGAGGATGCTCCGAAATAAACCTGAAGAACCTCTAGGATGAAGATATTCCTGTAGAATGTCTTGTTCTGAACTGATGAGGATAATGAGGAGTGGAACAGATAATCGGCTGCTTTTGAAAGTCTCTTGAAGAGCCCACCTTCATTGCTTACCACCGACACCATGCAGTCCAGATTTTGAAGCCCTACCTGCTTTAGATAACCTGGGGAGCTCATTAGTAACAACGGGTCGTCTTTGACAAATATCCCATCAATAGTAGGTACAAAATAGAACTCGGCTAATGCTGTGACGGGTTCATTTTCCATTGGCCATGATGCTGCAGACACGGTCCTCAGACAGGCGATCATGGATGCGGAATCGCTCTGGGAGGAACAGTTTACTTTATGACCCAGTTGTCGTGCATATTTCAGTGGGTTCCTTGTGTGAGCCAATGAGGACGAAACAGACACACTCTGCATGATTGTCCTTTGAAACAAATCCTTGGACCATGAGTACAAGGCCTGGAATGCCACACTAGCGGATCCTGCTGATTGTCCCATGAGGGTAATGCTGTTGATGTCCCCGCCAAAAGATGCAATATTCTTCTTAACCCATTTCAGAGCAAGATGCTGGTCCCAGAGGCCATAGTTTCCCGCTGACACGTGGTCCTCTGTGCTGAGGAACCCAAGCGGTCCCAAGCCGTATTGGATGGTGACGACTATGACATGTCTATGGGCAACTATCGATGAAGGGTCATAGGAGAAAGCATCTCCTGAAACGAATCCCCCTCCATGTATCCAGACAATTACAGGTATGTTACTGGTTTCAGTAATTGAGGCTGGAGTGAATACATTCAGTGTTAAGCAATCCTCGTCCCCAGTGGCACCATATCCACCAAACGCCTTGAGAGTTTGGACGCAAGCTGGACCATAACTGTTGGCTTTAAAGATGTGATTAAACCCAGGATGTGGCTGTGGTCGCTTGAACCGTCTGCCCCCAGTAGGCGGAACTGCAAAGGGGATTCCTAAAAATGCATGATAAGGTGTCCAGTCCTCGGTGACGTTCGTGGTCCCCTCAACTATACCCCAAGGGGTGTCGACGATGGGTTGAGCGTTGAGGTATTGCAAGGTAAACAACAAGGTGAAGACACCGATGAGAACCATTGTGTTGTTTTGAAGAACGACCATACTCTTGAAGCTTAAAAGCTTATTTTATGTAACAGTCACGTGTGTTGTGCAATCGCAATGGTAGTATAAATAGCTTTCAAGATACAAGATACCCTAGTTAACTCCTCTTTATCTGCAATGAAAAATCGGCCAGACACTTTCAACATTAGAAATGTTCACAAATGATAGTCAGCTTGGATTCAAGCCACTTCGATGCCTGTTTATGTTATTTTCTTCACTCGAACTGCAAAGGCCCTATCCGCTCGTCCCGAGAACTAATTAGACTAGACGCTGATTAGCTGATGAAGCACTTCGGACAAAACCCAGGAGAGGCACAACAGGAACAACTGCTTGCTAACAATTCTGACCACATGATCGCCTGAACAAGATTCGATTATTTTCACTCTATAAACATCCAGATAGTATTATCGCAAAGTGCGACATTAAACAAAACCAACCAAAATGATCTTCGTTCTTAGCCCCGTTCCACAAGGCTGTCTTAGCGTCATGTCTGTTGTAAATCTTTGTTAAAACATGGACGTCATGGTCATCTTAACACTTGTTTTTCACTTTGTGAAACATAAGTTTTGTGCCCAGTTCCATTCTAAGCCTTAATACTATAAGTATTACCTAGGGGGAAATGGAGACATTTCTCATGGAATAGGCCTTACACCTGACTGCGAATTGATCATATCAAAAGAAGTGTGGTTTGCATGACTTCATTTTGAGTTGCTTGGAGTTTTTCATTTGTCCAGGGCCCGTGAACCCTTAAAAGGGGACCAATGTTTCTTAGTAATTTCTGGTCCATAGTTGATTATGAACAGGCTGGAATACTGCCGAATGGTGCATCACACAACAGTCTTACAAACAAAATATTTACTCACTCTCTTTGTAACATATCAACACATTCAAGCTCAAATAGTTCACCGCATTCCCGAGATTTTTCTTCTAAACAATATTTGAGATACCTACCCATGTCTTGTGAAATCTGTGAGCAGTCCCATCACCGTATGTGCAAGCTTCTTTTCGGATTGGTCTGGATCTGTTATACTGTATGGGAACGCCTTTGCCATAGCAGCGAGGTAGGCTTTGTTGAGACCAAACGTGTACATGAGGTCTTCACCATGATCCATCCCCTTGCCATGACCAATGATAAAGGATGGGATGTGGTCAAACACATACATGTAGGTCTTCTTCCCTGTTTTCAAGCTGCTGGTCAGCTTTGCATGAGCCCTCGCAAAGAGTGTCACGGGGGCAACCATTCCAGCATCACCAAGAGTGTTCATTACTGCCTGAAGAGTAACGGTATGGCTTTGGGAGGGGGCATACACCTCAGCCACGGCCTGTGTCATGTCAGAAGAGGATGTTCCGAAATATAGCTGTAGAATCTCTGGGATGAAGGTGTTTCTGTAGAATCGATTGTTCTCAACTGATGAGGATAATGACGAGTGGAACTGTTTATCAGCTGCTTTTGCAACTATTTGAATCAGTCCACCTTCACTGCTTACCACCGACACCATGCAGTCCAGATTTTGAAGTCCTACCTGCTTCAGGTAAGTTTGGGAGTTAATTAGAACCAGTGGATCGTCTTTGACAAATACCCCATCAACAGTAGGTACAAAGTAGAACTCGACTAATGCTGTGACGGGTTCATTTCCCATTGGCCATGATGCTGCAGTCAACTTCTTGGCAGACACGGTCCTCAGACAGGCGATCATGGATGCGGAATCGCTCTGGGAGGAACAGTTTACTTTATGAGCCAGTTGTCGTGCATATATAAGAGGGTTCCTTGTATAAGCCCATGAGGACGAGGCAGACCCGCTCTGCATGATTGTCCTCTGAAACAAACCCTTGGACCCTGAGTACAAGGCCTGGAATGCCACACTAGCGGATCCTGCTGATTCTCCCATGAGGGTAATGCTGTTGATGTCCCCGCCAAAAGATGCAATGTTTTTCTTAACCCATTGCAGAGCAAGATGTTGGTCCCAGAGGCCATAGTTTCCCGCTGACACATGGTCCTTTGTGCTGAGGAACCCAAGTGGCCCCAAGCGATATTGGATGGTCACCACTATGACCTGTCCGTTGGCAACGATCGATGAAGGGTCATAGGTGAAAGCATTCCCTGCGATGAATCCCCCTCCATGTATCCAGACAATTACAGGTATGTTACTGGTGTCCGTAATTGAGGCTGGAGTGAATACATTCAGTGTTAAGCAATCCTCGTTCCCAGTAACACCATTACTGCCAATCAAGTTGAGAGCCTGAAGGCACGCTGGACCATACTTGTAGGCTTTGAAGGTATGGTTAAACCCAGGATGTGGCTGTGGTCGCTTGAACCGTCTACTCCCTGTAGGCGGAACAGCGAAGGGGATTCCTAAGAATGCATGATAAGGTGTCCAGTCTTCTGTGACGTTTGTGGTCCCCTCAACTACACCCCACGGGGCGTCGATGACAGGCAGGGCGTTAAGGTGTTGCAAGGTGAACAGCAAAGTGAAGACCCCGATGAGAACCATTGTGTTGGTTTCAGGAACGACCGCATTTGGATTTTGATTGTATTTGTTTTGAGCTAGACGAAAATGAGATATGCTTCTCTGATTACCTCGCTCAATCGAACCGAGAATTTTGAAGCTTTGAAGCCGTTTACCTGAATCTACACCAACACGTGTCTCTATGCAAGAAAACAATGTTGTTATCCACAAGTTGTGCCTTCCCAGTCACTGTTGTTGTAACAAAATAAAGAGATGACGAAAAACAACACGGGTGTATTAATGGGGATTATATTAGCAAGGTTATAAATAACTCCAGGTTACATTGGCTATCGTTTCACAAACAAAACGAAACAAAAGAGGAGGTAATGATCCCGCAATACAACGTACAGCGGAAAGGTATTGGTTACATGATGTCGCCATGGCCCATGAAGACACCACTTATTATTCTCTGAAGCTTTTAATAACTGTTAAATGGACGTATACTTTGAAGAACAAATCGGTGGTGAAACCTTTGAAGGGCATTTAGAAGTGGAATGCATAAATCTTGCTTTTCTTAAAACTGTGGTGACTTATGAGAAACGTTTTGAAAAACAATTCCCAGGGTAATATCCTCAATATCCCTAGGGTAATATCCCCATAAATTCAAGCATTGAACAATTTTGGTTTTAGGTGTCTTGTGTCATATTGAAAGCCATAATTATATAATAATAACGTGTGGTTTGAATACATTCGATACCACAAAAAAACAAATCCCCTCACTGAAAGGTATGTCATCAACAGAAAACACCACGGTCACAGATGTTCATATTTTTAAGAAATATGTAACAAAACACTTTTCCGGCTATGTCATAAACATAGAGAAGATACCAGGTGTTTGCCAATACGTACGTGTAATCTGCCCCAAGGTGTGCTACCTGTCACAAACACACGCAAAGGCAAGTCAATGTTCACCGAACAAACTGCATGGTACAAGTCTAAATAAGACATTGCATCAGCGATACGTCTTGTCAATGATATTTGCTTGATACATATGTATGGAAATGTACTTTATATAGTTTGTAAATATACTTCACAGTATCGCGAACACAGATATGATGTTTATAGGGCAAGATCTGTCTTTGATTCGAACCCCAGACCACCAGTTCCTGGTAGAATTAGCACAGTTGGTAGCGGAAATAGACACGGGACACCCTTGCTCCATGAATAGCGTGAAAAAGAGAGAACCAAGAAAAACCTTCAAACTTGGAAAATAAATCTGCATTGTCATTCCAATAAAAACAATTATATGTGTCGTTCGTTTCTGATGTGTTTCAGCAAGATGTCATTCACGACAAATACCACGCCCCTTATCACAGTATTCACAGAATACAACAGGTGCCCGCTTTTGCTTAGTCACATACACACGTGATAGTGGGGCAATTGTTAACTCCACAGTTGACTCGACACCAGTTGTCCATATCAAGATTCCCATGCCATGGCCCGGAGCCGCGACACTGACCGCTCCCTGTCTGAGCGGCAGACGTTGACTCATCCGTTTCACTGGTCCCTGAGTCGGCATCCGTACTGTCTTGGGCACCATTCCCTTCCTCCGCATCTGCCCTGGATTGTGCTTCAGCGTCAGCTCTTGCCTGTGTTTCAGCGTCAGCTCTTGCCTGTGCTTCAGCGTCAGCTCTTGCCTGTGCTTCAGCATCAACTCTTGCCTGTGCTTCAGTGGCAGCTCTTGCCTGTGCTTCAGCATCAGCTCTTGCCTGGGCTTCAACTTCAGCTCTTGCCTGTGCTTCAGCATCAACCCGTGCCTGCTCTAGTGCCTGTACTTCAGCGGCAGCTCTTGCCTTCTCTTCTTCTTCTGCCTTTTCTTCTATTGTTGCCTTAGCTTCTGTGCTTGACGGTGCTGCAATGGCTGCGCTCGCCTTTGCCTGAGATCTGCTTGAGGCATGCAACAGAGCGGCGTCTGGCGCCATGTTTCCAACCACCCCCCTGACAGCTGGGAAGTATGGCGATGTCTGCACAATTCCAGAACTGTTCCTGGTCTCCAAGTCCCACTCCACAAACACGTTGACAGAACAACCCCAGCTGTTGCCTACAAACATGCAATAGAATGTGTTTAATTGTATCCAAATTTTCGATGAGAATTTCTCGTGTGTAAAATATGTAATTCGATGTTGTACATATATTTTGGAGTGGGCAGCAAGTGGTAACAACTGAGTGAGGGAGTATGGTTTCATCAATATTCCAGCAATATCACGGCGGGGGACACTGTACCCATGTGAGGAATCGAACTCAGGTCTTCTGCGTGATGAGCGAACGCTTTAACCAATAGGCAGCCCTACCGCCCCTGATAACAACTCTTAGCTGGGGCTGGCTAAATTGATCGATAATCGGAAATATCGTCGATAGGAAAAGATATTACTGATTGTCGATATGAAAATTGTGTTATCGATTATAACGTACATTAACTTTTGTGATAGAATTATGTTTAGTGACCCACACAATATCAAAAGTTAGATCTTCATTCATGGACTATTACTAAATTATG